TGCCATCACATCCCACTAGCTCCAACCGAACCTTATGAATAAATGATCTGGCAACATGTAAAAAGTTACTGATTTTTAAATCACTATGTTTTGCAGCTAAAGCAACAATAACTGCATGTCTTTTCATTTCTTGGGTTAACATCTTCCTCTGACTGGGTTATCTGAAATAAAAATAATAATATTATAAATGATTTGAGTGTGTAGTGAACTTAAAACATGTCCTGAAATAGCACTCGCATCCTGTATATTTTTCTTAAATAATTCAAGTTTTCCTAGTAGTTCAAATATATCTTTGTGCTGAGCTTTATCAAATGCTTTTTCATAATTAATGAAATATATGTATAGGTTTTTCTGTGTTTGTATTGCTCGCTCTGATGGCTTTCTGCTTATCAAGATTTCTTGATCCAGAAAAAAAAATTCTATACCTGTGTTTTATAGATTCAGTCGTTATGTGCCAGTCATGTGGTACACGATTAGGTGATCATGTATCTTTTGATAAATGACTGACAAGGCAGATTTTTCTCGCAATAGTTTGCCATTTCTTTCAGCGGTAGACCAGTTGCCATCCAGGGCTATAGAACCTAGTCTGTCCTGCTATTTACCCATAGCTGGGGAAGAATAGGATTCACACCTTTCCCAAGGGTATTAGCACGCAAGTGATTGTAATAGATTCGACTGGAATTCGTACTCGGCTCTCCGATTCCTCAATCTGAGCCGCTATCCATTACTCCATCGTTTTATAGACTACTTAAAGGAATTCGATAAAATACAGCATATCAAGTATATCTTGAAATGATAGGAAAACTTAATCTACACGGAAAGGATATACGAAAAAATCTGCATTACGTATTGCCAATAAATACCTATTGAAATGAATGAATAGACCAAAATAGAAAAAGGAGTGTTAAAACAATGTGTTTTCTTACCGGATTTTTCCACTCTGTACAGCGAGAGAAATAGTAGACCTACCAGGATCTCGTATAGGCAGACCGTCTTTTTCTTAATTATGTTCACCCAATACAAGGCCCAAGAGCCACTCAATGAAGAAGGTTACTGTATGGAGTTGTAATAGCGTAAGAATGGGCAAGATAACAGGAAATATAACTAATTCTAGACTTGAAGAGGTCAAGATTAAATTAGCGAATAAAATTTCAGAGTTCATACGTAGACGTTAGGAGTATAGAGTTGAAGTCGACTTTAGAAGGAACCAGAAACGCAATCCTATACAGGAGACAATAGATAAACCTCTACTCCTGTTCAAAAGACCTAGGAGGGGTATGAACCGAACGATAGACAAACCTATCTACTCTTATAGGCAGAGTAAAAAATAGTAATAATGACTGAATAAAATTTCAAATTTCAGGCGGAGACATCAGAAGTGCAGAATTGAAGAAGCCAGAAATCCATTTCTAAACAGGAAACAAGGGATAAACCTCTACTCCTGTTAAAAAAAATCGAAACATAATATCATATTAGATAAGTTAGTCGAGTAAAGCAAGAAAAGGAACTAACCATTTATTTTTAAAAAGATGGAATACATGGTTGCTAGCAAAAGGGACAACCAAAGAAGTAAATTACACATAGGGGTTGTCAAATTTAAACAGGTGTGGAAATTTAATTAAATGGGCAGCAAAATAACAGAAGAGGGGAAATGTGACACAGAAAGCCGAACGTGTATAGAAATAAGAAAAAGGACTTTTCAAAAACTGTATGAGTTACTAAAAAATCGAAAAATAATATCAGAAACGAATATTAAAGAAGTGATGGACTGCTATGTAATATACTGCTTGTATATGGTAATGGAGGCTAGACAATTTCGTCAAAAATGAAATCGTCCTGACTATAAACTAGATCCGCGTCCTGGGTAAGACGATAAACTACATCTTACAGCAAGGCCTATGTTCAGGACGTTTTGAGGAACGTGGAACCACCTCTTAATTGCTGGTGTTGCCAGGTCCACCCTGATCCGGAATAGTAGCACCTGTTTAGGGGTCCCAGCTATGGACAATAGTTAACCCGCCAAACCCGTTCGCATCCCAGGTAAGACGACAAATTACATCCGGCGTCCTGGCTAAGACGATAAATTACATCCGCGTCCTGGGTAAGACGATAAACTGCGTCCAACAGCAAGGCCTCTGATCAGGAACCATCTCTTAATTGCTAGTGTTCCCAGGTCCACTCTGACCCGAGATGGTAGCAAATATGGGCAAATAGTTAACCTTCAAACTGGGGTCAAAACACTGTTTTGTGATGTGAACGAATACTGGTTGTCACTTTCGTAATGCTCGTTGTAGTAGAGACTTTGTAATCGTAGATACAACTATAGTAACGCCGTTGAACAATACTGGTGTCAGACGCCTTTGAATAACACTCGCTCTGATAGTACTTGCTCGATGATACTCGCTCAAAAAGTATCCGCTGAATAGTGATCCGAATAGAGAAATAGTATAGTGAATAGTGTAAAGAATAGCGGTCCGCATAGTAATAGAGGATAGACTAGAATTCGAGATCAGACTAGACGTCACGCGACTTTATATTTGCGTTTCCTCTATGGTCACGTGATCCACTTAATTCGATTATGGGATCGCCTGTGTTTGCTCACTGGCAATCAATGTTCAAACTCAAGTGTCGGCAGCGACATTTTATTCCTATATAACACAATGAAAGTGTAAAAATAGGTTTTATTACCAACAATAATTTTTTTGAGGAAAAATTATTACCAGCAATACATTATTACCAGCTATACATTTTCGAAGAAAACAAATATATTACCAGTAATAAATTTTTGAAGAAAAAAATATTACCAGTAATAAATTTTTGAAGAAAAATTAGTACCAGCAATACATTATTACCAGCTATACATTTTTGAAGAAAATAAATATATTACCAGTAATAAAATTTTGAAGAAAAAAATATTACCAGCAATAAGTTTTAAAGAAAAACTTATTACCAGCAATACATTTTCTGGAAAAAATATTACCATCAATACATTTTTAGAAAAATATTGCTAGCAATAAAAATCTTGTCGGCATTAAATAACCCATTGTGGTTGATATCCCGTAAAACAAACCAAACCAAACCAAAAATGAAAAAATGATTTGTGGCTATCGAGATGTGGAGAATGTCATGGATGGAGCATGCGACAAAAGAAAATCAAATTAGGATAGATACTACAAAGAAATTGTTGATAACAACCAGGAAGATACTTTTGAAATTTTGAGCACTTATAATCAGAAAAATAGGCTTGGAGAATTAAACAGTTACATGACACATCAAAAGCAAGAGAATCATAGAAAAGCTGAAAATAACCTGACATGTTTGCGAAAATCGATAGAGAAAGTGTTGCTGAAAGTAATAAATTATAGGAAGCTGTGGAGAGACATGATAACCTATATCCTGTATGGATATGACACATAGAAAAAGAAGCTCTGGTTATAAGGACAAGAAGTAAACTAGTTCGGAACTACAAGACAACTAAAGAAACGCACATCTGAAAATATATCCCTGACAGCTTCTCGTGGTTAGCTAAATATATATTAGATGGCTTTATTTGACGGCTGTTGAATACGGCAGGTCGCTGATGTTTAATTTAACATCGAAAAAGTTCAAAACCGCCGAGTAATTGCTTGTCAGTTTTCTGAATTATGTATGCTCATCTTTGGAAGAAGATATACTGCTTTGTATCTCTTATTATCTGTTTTGCTTTTTGGTTTTCTTAATTTATCGTGCGGTCAAAATTGTAACATGCTTCTCTTTTCCTAAACATATCATGTCAGTGAATCATTCCACAAAACGTCACCGAGGACAGTGACTGAATGTTTTCATATTAATATGTCCGAACTTATCATTGGGCACAACTTTAACAATATAAGATAGCAGACACGGGAAGAAAACTAGAGGACCTTCCTAGACAAGGTAGCGGGAAGAAAGGACTAACCATCAATTAAGAAGACAGAAAGTGTGGTTGTCGGCAAGAGAAAAAGACCATGATACGAGCGAAGAATTGGAGATGTCAAAATAAATCAAGTACAGAAGTTTAAGTACTTGTGAAGTGTTTTAACAGATAAAATGTAACACATAAATCTGAAGGTGCAATGGAATAATGAAAAATGCCTTCCAGACACTAAACAAAGTATTAAGAAATAGGAAAATTTCATTAGAATCAAGGAAACGAGTGCTGCAATGCTATGGAAAGTGAGAAGAAAGGACTAACTATCTATTGTAAGACAGAAAGTTTGGTTAAGCGAGGCAATCCAAGATGAAAGTCACAAATTGGAGATGTCAAGTGTCATAGCAGAAAATGTAACACAGTAATCTGAAGGCGCATTGGAATAACGAAAAATGCCTTCCAGACACTAAACAAAGTATTAAGAGATAGGAAATTGTTGTTAGAAACAAAGAAAAGAGTGCTGAACTGCTATTTAATAGCTACCCTCGCATATGGCAGTGAATGTTCGCCAAATACAAGGCCCCTCAGTCACTCAAGGCAGAGGCTTAAGAATAAGAAAATGTTAGAAACAAAAAAAATGCCGAACTGCTATTTAATATCAATCTTCCTATATGGCAATGAATACAGGACAATTCCCTCACAGATGAACAGCAGACTTGAGACAAAAAAGATGTGGTTCTACAGAAGGATGCTAAGAATTAACGAGGAAGTGTTAAGTGAAAACAAAAAGGATAATTATATATAAAATCAGAAATTGCTGGGAGACATAATGAGTTGTTTGGTTGGTTGGTTCTTTTTGTTTAATGGCATATCAACATCTCTATGGGTTATTTAATGCCGAAATCTAAATATTTTGGATTTTTTTTTTAGATAATAATGGGTTTAGTGATACAAGTCTTACTAATTAACCCATAGCAAGGGGGAGAAGATATGTATTCATAACTTTCCCAAGGATATTGACGCGTAAGTGAATATAACAAACACAACGGAGGTTGGAACTCCGATTAACAAATCCGTGCCATTATCTATTACACCACCCGCACATCCAAGT